CAGAGAATGTGGGCGAGGGTGTGAGGGAGGAACCCTGGGATCCGGAAGACTTGAGTCAAATCCCAACTCTGCGGGGGTTTTAGCCTTGTGACCTTGAGTGTTTCTGACCTCCGGGTGCCTTAGTTTCCTCCTCTGTAAAATGGAAACATAACAGGCTAAATACAGTTATGGTGAGGATGGAAAGAGGCGCTGTGGTGCAAGCTGCCTGTGAGTGCACATTCTGACTGGAGCCAGAGAAGACCCCCAAGGGGCTCTGGAGGAGGCAGAGGTTCTCCTCGGGAAGCAATGTGAAGCTCATCTATGCCAATGAGGAAGGCCAAGCCTCTGGTTTCTGGGTGCTGAACCAGCTGGCCCTTCAGGAATTGAGTCCTGAGGTGCGGAGGGGAATGCTCAGGTTGGAGGAGCCTTGGGAATGGTGCAAACCACAGAATCCCTCATGTTGCACAGCTGCAGAAACAGGCCCAGAGCGGTCAGTGACTGGCCAGGATGCCAGGCGCACCTCCCAGATGTGGACTGCACTAGCCGTCACACCTGCTCCTCACGCCCTTGCCTTGAGTAGTGCCTGTTTGGCCCACCAGGCCCCTCAGGGACGTGGAGCAGCTGGTTTCAGGGGAGACTGTGGAGGGATGCAGGGGACCTGCACCTGCAGAGGCTGGGTTTGAGCTGGTGAGGGAAGGTGGAGGGATGGATTTGTGATCCATTTAGGGATGACCTAGAGAAAGTGTTTAATCTGTGAGGGTCCCCAGCTTTTGGGGGACGGGGAAGCGGAGATCCTGGCCCTCAAAAGGGAGAGGAACCTGGCCAACTGGGGCTGCCTGGCACGGAGGCAGTCCCCACCTAGCCTGTTCTGGATTACCAGGAGGCGGGCCTTGGTAGAGGTCAAGGTTTCTTCCTGAAGGCGGGACCAAAAAGGGAAGAGACCTGTGGGTGGGGCCTGGAAGAGCTGGGACTTGTTTTGGCAAAGCCTTTGCTCCCAAAAGGGCGGTTTCTTTATCTGCAGCCAGCCCTATCTTGGCCACAAGAAGCCTAAATTTCAAGGTTGGCTTTCTCTCAGCTGGAGCACATGGCTCTGAGAAAGCCACTTTCTCTCAGTGGCTTGGGTTCTGTGTCTTCCCAAATGGGAACGAGACTGACGGGCTTACTGATGTGGAATTTGGTTTTTCCTTTCCTTCTTCCTGTAGACAGGTACCTCTTCTCCCTGCCAGCTTCCCTGCAGACCTCTAGGCTGACCTTTTCGTCCAGAGTGGAAGGGGTCCACAAGGGCCAGATTACAGGGAGTCAAGCCCTGTGGGCCCCACATCTCCCTGCTCCTGGCTCTGTGGCCTTCAGCATGTTCCTGCCTCACCTTCCTCTCAGCAAGGACTGTGGGTGTGCACTTAGTCCCTATAGTTCCTGACCTTGTGTAGGTATCCTTGCCCTGGGGGTGAAATCCCAGTCCCGGGGAGCCCTCACCTAGGCTCAGGGAAGGGGACAGACAGCCAGACAGGCGTCTGGGCACTGGGAAGCCTCCAGAAGCTGACCGTGCAGCTCCCGCCAGCAGACAGCAAGCCCAGGCTCGTGTCAGCCAGGCCTGATTCTGCAAAGTCTTTCACCCTGAGAGCATGTGAGGGCAGGAGGCGGGGGTGTAGGCAGGGCCTCGAGGTTCTGTCAGCTTCCATGGAGTCCCAACTGCCGCAGAACGCAGTGCAGGCAGGCAGAGCACACAGAGCCTGGGCAGGAACCAGAGGTGCAGCCAGGCACTGGGCCGGTGGGTGAAGCAGTGGGCACTGTTGAGAGACCCTAAAGTCTGGGGACTGGACCTTGAGGGCAAAGATGCCATTCTGTCTAATAGTTGGTTTGAAGATTTTTTGTTTATTTGTTTTTGAAAGAATTTACTTGTTTGAAAAGCAAAGTTTACAGAGAGACAGGTAGTTAGGATCTTCCCTAACTATCTTCTCTGCTGGTTCACTCCCCAAATGGCCACAATGCTGAGGCTGGGCCAGACCAAAGCCAGGAGTCTAGAAATCCATCTGGGTCTCCCACATGAGTGGCAGAGGGCCAAACACTCAGGCCATCTTCCATTGCTTTTCCAGGCACATAAGTAGGAAGTTGGATCAGAAGTAAAACAGCTAGGATTTGAACCAGCAATTCTATGGGAAGCTAGCAGTTAAACCCACCTTGCCATGCTGCCAGCACCTAAGACTGGTTCTAGAAACAGGGAAAGACTGGTGAAAGCAGCTCCCCTGGTCCTGGGCCTGTCAGATCGAAGAGGGCTGAGGAGGTAACCTCCCATCCGTGTCAGCTCTGTCCTCATCTTCCCTCTGACATTGAGACTGAGGATTTGGGGATTCCAGGTCAGTCTTCCCCATCTAGGATGGAAGGTAGCCACCTTTGGGTGGTTTCATTTTCCTACTCCTCACCCACCCACTCCCAGTACAGCTGCACTCAGGGCTGAGCCATGAAGCTGCCTTCCCCCAACCAGTCCTGCATTGCTACCTGAGCCTCTGACAGCATGCTACTCCATCCCCAGGTCTGACAAGATGTACCAGGTCCCACTGCCGCTGGACCGGGATGGGACCTTGGTCCGGCTCCGCTTCACCCTCGTGGCGCTGGTCACAGTCTGCTGTCCACTTGTCGCCTTCCTCTTCTGCATTCTCTGGTCCCTGCTCTTCCACTTCAAGGAGACAACGGCCACACACTGTGGGGTAGGGCTTGGGGCCCTGATACATGCTATTCAGGCCCTTTGGATCTTTTGGGGTTTCTGATTCTCTCCAAACAGGATTCCAGCTATCTGGTGGGGTCCATCAAAGATGATGAACTGCTGGGGGCTGCCTGAAAATTGAGGGTTCATAAACTAGTCTTCCTCTGCCTTCCAGGAAGGTTCTGCAGGCTGGAGTCACTGAAGTTGGGCAGCCTCCATGTCTCAAACCCAACCTTAGAAGAGCAGATTCAGGAACCTCCAGGTTTTAAGGGTGGGATATGGAGAAGGAGAAAGACTAGACTTAGAGTGGCACCATGAGCTTGCGCCTGTCTGTGGGAAAGTGATCCTTTCATATGTGTGTATGTAAATGACTACATGGTGGCTTAGAGTGAAGGATGCGTGAAGGTGGATACTTGGCCATCTGATCACATGTCTGTTTATGTGCTCTGGAGTGGGTCTTATGTCTTCTGGATTCTGTCAGTGACCATGCACCCTTCCTGGACAGACGCACCGGGTTCTGGGCTAGGAAGAAGGATGTAAGAGTTGGTTCTCTCTATCAGAGTCCATGGAGTGATACTTGTGTTGACCTCTGTTATACTCCTTGTTCATTCACTACCTCTGTATTACTCGAGACTCAGAGACTAAGCCTCAGTTTCCCTCATGTCTAAAATGAGATTGGTGATTCCTGTCCTGCTGCTTTCCAGGGCTGGCGTGAGAGAAGTATGGCGACATGGTTTGAGTATGTGAAAGGTGGGGAGCAAAAACAGGTAGAGGGTCAGACTGAAAGGCAGGGCTGGAGATGATGTTAGGTAGAGGAGAGGCCAGGGTGTATGCGTGGACCCTTGGGCTGGCCTCAGAGAGAGGGCCAAAGGGTCCCACCTTGCTCAGTGCAGTACTGACTTGAGAGAGGGCTGGGACTAGCTGAGGATTCTGGCTTCATACGACCACAAGTTTCCCCTCCTGATTTGTCAATGGGCAAACGTGGGCCTTTGGCTATGGGCATCTAACCTGAGAGACCTGGGCCTGGGAGCTGTCCAAAGAAAAAAGAAGACTGAAAGGAGAAAAGTTGATCAGGTGATCTGTGGGAGGAGCATCACCCTTTTCAGACTCTGTACTTACCTCAGATAATACATCAGACTTGCTTCTTTTTCTGGTCAACACCTGCTCCCCCTGCAAGCCTGCCTGCCTGGGTGTCTTCTCCAAAAGCCTTCCCTTGCCTTCTTGCAACAAACTTAGTGACCCCCTCCTCTGGGTGCCCGCTTCCCTGGGTCATCTCTCATGTAGTTCTATCAGATCATATGTGTGTCTACTTGAGGGCAGGCATTGCGTCTGAGTCAGGAAAAGTCCTTGTTGAACAGAGAGAACCAAATCCTCCCATTTCTTCACCCCCAGCCATAGTTTGTCTGTCTGTCTGTCGCTCTCTCTCCAGTGCCCTGGGAACAGGAAAGAACAGTATGAGGCAGTCATAGACCAGACCAAATGATAGTATTTGCAGGACATGGAGTTAAAAGCAGAGTAGACTCTTGGCAGTGTACCACCCCCACCCCACCCCTGCCAGCTGGTCCTCAGGGATACTGGCATCCGTAACCTCAGCACTCCTGTTGCCTACTCACAGTCTGTTAGTGAGGAGACTAAGGCATCGAGAGTTTCCTAAGGAGTCCCGGGTCCCTCTAGAGCAACAGCAGGCTCGTGATCCTGGGGGCGTTTTGTCCCCACTCCCTGGGACTACTCTGTTTTATACACCTGGGGACTTATTTATTTTCTTTCTTTCTTTCTAAGGTTTATTTTATTTTTATTGAAAAGGTAGATATGCACAGAGAAGGAGATACCGAAAGATCTTTTGTCTCTTGGTTCACTCCCCAAGTGGCCACAACAACTGGAGCTGAGTCAACTGGAGCTAAGCTGATCTGAAGTCAGAAGCTGGAAGCTTCCTCCAGGTCTCCCATGTATGTGCAAGGTGCCAAGGCTTTGTGCTGTTCTCTACTACTTTCTCAGGCCAAAATATAAATATTATATTTTATTTATTTTTGTTAGAAAGGCATATATACAAAGAGAAGGAGTGACAGAGAGGAAGATCTCCCATCCATTGATTCACTCCCCAAGTGGCCACAATGGCCAGTGTTGCACTGATCCGGAGCCAGGAGCCAGGAACTTCTTCCAGGTCTCCTATGTGGGTACAGGGTCCCAAAGTTTTGGGCTGTCCTCGACTGCTTTCCCAGGCCACAAGCAGGGAGCTGGATGGGAAGTGGAATTGCCGGGATTAGAACCGGCGCCCATGAGGTATCCCAGCGTGTTCAAGGTGAGGACCTTAACTATTATGCTATCGTGCTGGGCCCAAAATAAATAAATCTTAAAAAAAAAAAAAAAAAGAAGACCATGGTTTGAGCCAACCCTGCAGAGTCAAGAAGGCAGTCACAGGCATCATGAGGCCATGTTCTTGTCTCATAGCTTGAACTCCTTTAGACAGCTCTCCTGGGACATTGTCTCCGGGCCCCTTCCCATCCTGTATGTGCCCTTGGACTTGAACAGTTGGTTACTCTGTCCTGTGTACTGAGTGCTAACCCACCCGGCAGGTCATCCTCCGTTGGCATGCATTGCCATGTGCTATTTCTGCACAGGTACAGGGTAGATGCTGCTATCTCACATTAAGCCTGTCTAGATCTCGTTTGGATTCTGACTGTATTTTTTTAAGATCTGCCAATTCTTGAACGGGTCTAACAAACACATCCAGGCTAGCTTTGACAAAAAAGGGCCAGATCCCATTCTGCTTTCTCCTTCCACCTTCCTAGAAACATATTGCTCCTATATGGATTGCTGGACACTGCTCTCTACAACGTTTCACCCCACCCCCTTCCCTATCTTGCCCTGACAGGGAAGTTGTTGGGGGCCGACCTCAGCCGCTATCACTTCTTACCTTTGCAGAGTGTTCTGGGATTCTGACATGGCCTTGTTGCTCCTGGGAACACTCTGTGCCTGGGCAGGCATGGAAAACTGGGCTGTGTGGGCGGGAAGGCAGGCTCTGAGGAGCCCGGGGGTGGGACCCTCTGGTCTTCCGGCAACCTCAGTCTGGCTGGAGTCCTCAACTCAAGGGCCGGATTCTTTCAGCAGCCAGTGTGAGTGCTGCTTGGTAAGCCCCCACCCCACCCCAGGCACAGAACTGAACTAGTAGGCCCCAAGATGGGGGTGGGGGAGGGGACGGTATTCTTTAGTGGACGTGGACGGAAGCGTAAGTCCCAAGGGGAGGTTGGGTCCTAAGTCTTTCATAGAAAGCTCTCTGTCCCACTGTGCCCTAGAAAGGAATCCGGTTTGGGGGTTCAGGTGGACTAGTATTAGGTGGTGGTAGGGTGGGGGAAAGAAGTCTTTTGTCCAGAAGGAAAAGGGAGTAGAAGCCCAGCCCCTTAGGCCTGGGTCTGACCTGGACAGGGCCTCTGAGTGCCTGCACTTCTCCTGTCCCTCAGGTTACCCCAAACCTTAGATCAGGTGACGTGTTGTCCTCCAAGGGGAAGGAAATGAGGGGTCTGGGCCCCTACAGGGACCCTGATATTCTGGGGTCAGGACACTGCTGGCCTGAGACTTGGGTCACTCAGAGCCTGGGGGCGGGATGGCTGGCAGCCTGTGGAACTATTGAAGCAGGTTCTCAGATACTCCTACTGTTCCTAGTTGTACTTGGGTGAGGAGGAAGAATGCGGTTAGACAAGATCGCTCTGTGCCAGGGGTCCTTTGTCTCAGTGACTTGGCCTGAAGTCATTGAGACAATGGACCCCGAGAGCCTCAAGTTAGAGCCCCTTAGTCCTAGTGTTGGGTTCCCCGATACTTCCATGCCTCAGTCCCATTCTCTGGAATGGGAATAATAACTTTAATACCTTGGGCCACAGAGTCATGAAATGAGAGTGAGGTAGGCTGTCAGAGAGCGGCTGCCGTGTTGGGCCACTGGGCATTCTATTGTCTGTGTTCTTCAAGAGGTGGACCTAGAGCGTCAGTGTGTCCCAGGGAATCCTTAGGAGTTGCCACTTCCTGCACCTGCTGCAGCCTCTCATGCTGCTGCTTCTCCATCTGCATGGTCATGCTTGCCACCATTCTGCTCTGCCTCCTCATCAGGTTCTGAGGAGCCAGCGCTGGAAAAGACCCCACTTGCCCCAGGTGCAGGTATCTCACCAAGCCCCAAGTTGTGTCCGTTGCCCTGCTTGGGCCACTCCCTGCAGGATGTTCTCTGGAACCTCCCAGCTCTTGGACCCTGATGGGACTGCGTTTCGGCTCCGCTTCTCGACCTTCCTCTGGTGGGTCATCACTTTCCCCATGTTCGGCTTCTTCTTCTGCATCATCTGGTCCCTGGTGTTCCACTTTGAGTACACGGTGGCCACTGACTGTGGGGTGAGTGTCAGGCTCCCCAGGGCCTGGGGCCCAACCAGGTCAGGCGATTGTGGGAAGGGTGGTAGGCGAGAAGGTGGAGGGGAAGAGAAAGGGAGTTAGGAGAAGGACTGAGCAGAAGTGAGGAGGGTCAAGTCAGAGTTAGAAATTAGGAAGAGTCCCAGACCTGCAAGGACTGCAAGAGGATTGCCCCAAGTGCAAGGGAGGGGCTGGGCAAAGGGAAATGGTTGGGAATGAGAGGAAGAGAACAGGCAGATTGGAAAGGAGGCCACAAAGCCAGAATGGTAACAGGTGCTCTTGCTCGAGACTGGACAGCTGACGTCAGAGGTTCCTTGGCCTTGTCGTGGGATCATCAAGCTTCATTTCTGCCACTGGCAGCCCCAGGCCCCACAGCCTATGCCCACTTAGGCTCTGCCAAGTCAAAAACTTGGATGGATTTCCTTCCTCCCACGGCAGCCCAGAAGGCCTTCCTGAGAACCTGGGGCAAAGGTTTAGCGGCAGGAGCATGAGGTTGAATATGGAAAGAAAGGGGAGCACAGAGGATGGTACTTAGAGTCGGTCAGGATGGTTCAGCATTCACCATACTGCTGTAAGCTTTCCTACAATACAGCTTCCAACAAAACCAGACTACCCCAAGTTCCCGAGAAGAGTTATACCAAAAAGGCTGGGAAGGCCCCAGAATCTGCATGTGGCATGTTCCCAGGCCAACTGTGAGGGGATCATGCTGTGAGACCTTAAGTCCTGATGAAGTTGTCTAAGATGAAAAAAAAAAAAAAAAAAAACCAGCAACATGTCAGCAGGACCTATGGTGGCTTCATGTGTGCCAAATGTGTCTGTGACAGGACCAAGCGGGCTTTCCTTATTGAGGAGCAGGAAATCGTGAAAGTGTTGAAGGCACACACCAAGCACAGAATCAGAAAGCTAAATAAAAGCATGATGCTTTTGAAAAATTAAAAATTCAAAAGGTGAAAAAAAGGTAGAGAGTGCAGACACTGCCAGGCTCCCAAGGAGGAGGCTCGTACCTCCTCCTCTTCCTGGAAAAGAGCAGCCTTGAGGCTGTGGGCTGCAGAGAACTGTGAACAGGCCGAGCTGACAAGGCAAGATGTCTCTCCAGAGGGCGCTGGGCAAACAGGAAAGGGTTGTGAAGAGATTTGTGCTTCAGAAGATCATTGCAGTCCCTGAGTGGAAAACACTGAGCAAGGAGCCCAGTGAGAAGGCCAGAGACAGCTCCTGCCACTGGGCAGACTGAGCTAAGATGGGAGTTGTAGGGAGAGATAGGAGGTGTCCAGAGAAGAATTTCAAGTAGGAGTGACAGAAATTGATGTTTTTGTCAAATAGGCAATAGGCAGAGGCTGGTAAGATAGACAAGAGACATCATCTGCAGTCTGGGGAAACCTTTATCTGCAGGGTCAAGGGATTGACTCTCTACTGGTGAAATTCAAGGTGCTGTGATTGGGAACATTTGGAACCCTCATTTGTGCTGTGTCAGTTTCTGATCTACAGCCTTGTCAGAGAGGGATCATCTTTGCATCCCTCAGTGCTCTTTGCTGGGCCCATGGGGGAGGCCTGGGGGTGAGCTGTGTACTTGGTCTTTGAAAGCTCCTGCTGGTGCTTGTGCCTGACAGTAGGTGAGAGGGGATTTGTATGTTGGGGATAGAGGTAGAGATAAGGGTGTCCGTGCCTGGGTGTGTGTGCCTGCGTGTGTCTGTGTATACCTGGACCTCCCCCCTCTCTCCCTCTTCTGAGGCCTCTTCCATTTCAGCTGATCATTGTCCCATCCCCCACCTCCCATCCCCCACCCAACATCAGTCATGCCCTTTAACACCCTTGGCTTCTCCCATTTGGGCTTTAGAGTTTGTCCTGTTCCCTTTAAAAGAGCCAAGAGCAGAGAAGAGTTCCCAGAATGAATATCCCAGCAAGCACAGGCAGTGCTGCCACTAACCCACCCAGCCAGAGACAGACAGAGCGTGTGAGGAGCGCTGCAGGCCTTCAGTGCTTGTCGCCCCGCCTCTGGCCCTTAAGCTGGCCTTGGCATGCTCAGTGACTGCAGCTCACGGCATCTTCGCAGCCCTCACAGGAGAGCTGGCTTTCCAACAGCTGTCATTTATTGCACCCACTGTGTGCCAGACAGTGCAGCCACTTGGCATACTGCCTGTATTTGGAGTGCGTAATTACCCAGAGAGAGATGAGGCCACACCCTGCTTGCAGTGAGGAACAGGAGCTCAGGGAGCTGGAATGACTTGCTGAGAGGCCTTCCAGCTCCTGTGCAGACCCACTGCGTGCAACCCCAGAGCACCTCCACTTATTCCTCATCGATGACTCAGAGTCAGCAGTCTGGTCTCAGGCTACCACATGTCAAGTTTTGGTCACAGGAGTAGCATCCTCCCTCCAAGAGCTTTCTGTGAAACCTTAGGCTGGTCCTTCTCCAGGCCCACCCACCCTGGCTCTGTGAACTGCTTCCAATGGCTTTGCCATTCAAGCATCTTAACTGACAGTGTCTCTGACAGGTGCTTCTGTGGTTAGGATCATTTTTTGCTGGGTCCCAGGACTCAGACACTGCCCCATGCTTTGCTAAAGCTCACAAAAACATTCCACGCAAAATGTGGGCAGTTGCCTGGTGGCATCTATAGCTTTGGAATCTTGACAACACAGATTCTGCAGTTCCAGACCACTTACATTTATCATGTACCTCCTGGCCCTCCCGAGCTCCCTGACTATGAAAGTTGGGAAGCACTATTCCAGGCCTAGGAATCCTAGAGACCCTCTTCCCATCTCTGGCCCTGTTGACTCATCCCATATCCTCTTATGTCTCACACGGGTGACACACCAGTCCTTCTACCTGTGTATTTGTGAGGCTCCCATTCCTTAAAGATTGAGAAATTCCAGGTGCTGGGAAAGAAGGAAGGAGTAGAGGTACAATAACAGGGTCATTTTCTGATATAGCACCAGGTTAGGAGTCCCCAGCATCTTAAAGATGACCAGGGTCAGGGCACTGTTCTGGCCCAACTCCCCAAGAGTCTCAGTGCACCCTTGAGCCCCCGGCCTACCTACCCAGAGTAAGGAATGGTGCTGGGAGCAGGAAGAGGAAGAGGAAGAGCTCAGCTGGGCACCAAGGCCAGCACTGTTCCAAGTATGCTCAGACACTCCCACTCCACCCTTCACTCAGCAGGGTGTCTGGGGTCCTGGATTCCTGGCCACCTCCTATCCGCTCTTTCTTTGAGGCATGACTCTGAGTGAGCTGTGGGCACAGGATGCTCAGAATCCTTCACAACCCACCACCTGCCCAAATGTGCAGGTTCCCAACTACCAAGGGAGGGGGAATCCTCTGCTGCCTGGGGAAGGAGCGCTGACACCCTGGGCCCTGGCCCAGCACAGGCATGGGAGATCTGCAGGGAGGGAGAGTATAGCGGAACCTTCCGGAGGACTTCCCAAGGAAAGGAGCTGAAAGGGGGAGGGTAGCCTTTTGAAGGGCTCTCTCCAGGTGTACAGGTACCTAGCTGGGTCACAACTCTGCAGGTGCCCAATTACCTGCCATCAGTGAGCTCGGCCATCGGCGGGGAGGTGCCCCAGCGCTACGTGTGGCGCTTCTGCATCGGCCTACACTCAGCACCCCGCTTCCTGGTGGCCTTCGTCTACTGGAACCACTACCTCAGCTGCGCCTCCCCGTGCCCCGGCTACCGCCCACTCTGCCGCCTCAACTTTGGCCTCAACGTCGTGGAGAACCTCGCACTGCTTGTGCTCACCTATGTCTCCTCCTCCGAAGACTTCAGTGGGTGCCGGGGCGAGGGAGGAGTCAGGGTGGGTTCTGGGAGGGGCCCCTCCCTCGCCTCCACTCCCTCCTGCGCAGGGGTATGTGGGTACTCCCCATCCCATGACACACACAAACACAAATGCGCTTGCGTGCGTGCACTCCCTGGCTCCCTCTCTCCCTCCAGCTGTCCATGAGAATGCTTTCATTGTGTTCATCGCGGCTTCCCTCGGTCACATGCTGCTCACCTGCATTCTCTGGCGGCTGACCAAGAAGCACACAGTAAGTCAGGAGGTACGGTGCACCCCTAGTGGGGCTCCAGGTGGCCCAGAAGGAAATCAGGGACGCCCATCCTCAGGATGCAGGCGCTGGTGAAGTGGGGCCTGGAGCGAGAATGGAGCCCCTCAGCCCAAGGAGGGGCCGGGAGCGGGTGGTACACTGCAGAGTCTGGGACTGTGTTGGGTAATTTAGGAGGTCAGTGTTTGAGCGGCACAGCAAGGCTGCTCTGGTTAGGAATCCTGTGTCAGGGATGAACCCTCACCATCTTTCAAGGTATTGGCTTGGGTAGGTGACTCCACAAAACACACTGGCGCTGTCGTCCTCAAGGGTCCTGTCCCTCCCCCTTGGCTGTCACTCCTACAAGTGCAGGGGTGTGAATCCTCGTCACACCTGCTACCCGTGCCCATATTCCCTTCCATGACAGTGAGGGGGACTCGAGGGAGGGAGAGCACCAAGCACCCCCTGCCTAGCACGCTACAGAGCCATCAGCCAACCCCTCCCCTAGGAGCGCAAGTCCTACAGCTGGAAGCAGCGGCTCTTCATCATCAACTTTGTCTCCTTCTTCTCGGCCCTGGCGGTCTACTTTCGGCACAACATGTACTGTGAGGCTGGAGGTGAGGGGTTCACAGATCTGAAAGGACTACCAGTGGGTGGAGGGTCCCTAGGGTCGCTCTTGGTGGACTGATGGTATGCAGTGACTCCCCCAGCAGTGCTGAGGGGGTAGCAGGATGCTCACTGTGTCATCTCTTGTGTCCCCACCAGTGTACACCATCTTTGCTATCCTGGAGTACACTGTTGTCCTAACCAACATGGCGTTCCACATGACAGCTTGGTGGGACTTTGGGAACAAGGAGCTGCTCATCACCTCCCAGCCAGAGGAAAAGCGATTCTGAACCCTTCCATCCTGCAGTGACGGAGACTGGAGATGGTCTGCAGTGCCCAGAAACAAAATAGCACCCTAGCCTTCCTCCCCTCCCCCACTGTGTCCCAGAGGGGAGAAGGGCATAGGACAAGACTGACCCTGGGGCTGCCAGCTTCTTCCTGTCTGGGAAGAGGCAGCCTGCAAGTGACGCAGTCCTTACTGGAAAGGTCTCATGAAGCTCAGCTGGCAGCAGAGCTCCATTACTTGGTGCTAAAAAAACAAATGTCCTGAGGTTCACAAGCACCATCCGGTCCTTAGCCTTTACATAGCTACCTTCTGCTGAGGTTGGGGAACACACAGAAGTGGCTACCACACATAACCCACAACCACTTCTCACCACAGAGCAGTCCACATGACTAACCTGTCTGATGAGCTACTATGGACATTCAGGCCTATCGCTACAGTGCCCTGCCAAAGGCACCATGGGTGGGGTTGGGGAGGGGGTTCCTGTCCTGGCCCCACTTCTTTGATTTGCTGTGTGCCCTAGGGTGTATACCCACATGTTCCTCCCTGTCCAAGCCTCAGTGTGTCCAAATTGGGATGGCGGTTGGGGGAAGAGGGGGTTGTGTGCTGTGGAATTTCCAAGGGCCCTGCCAGCAAGGCTCTGGTACCCGATGGAGGGTCTGCACCTGTCCCAGGAGCAGCATCAGCATGGTATGCGTTTCCCAAGCCTTATGAAATCTCTACCCTACAAGACCCTCCCTCCTTTGCAATGGTATGGAGTAGAGAAACAGATCTCCACCCTACAAGAGGCTCCCTAGGGCCTCCTGAGAGCTTTGCCTTGTATATTTTGTTTCAAAGGAAAATAAATTTTTCTTTTGGTTCACAGTCTTGGCTAGGCTTACTGGGTTCATCTCCTGATTTATCAGATGCGAACTGAGGGGACGGTTTTAGGATGGAATAAGTCCACAGTAGGGTAGGATTCCCAGTGTCCGCCATCCTGTTCCAGCTCCCTCTTCCCCTTTTTAGCTCAGGCCTGGACACTGGGCCTCCTTTTTGGTAAGGGGTAGACAGCCAGCCCTAGAAGCTGGGACAACCTGACTCTAGCTGACCGATAACTTGGGTTTCTCAGACCAAGGGGATGGCTCTCAAATTCATGGCTGAGTACACCTACCTCCAGGTTGGCAGCTCTCAACCATTTCCTTTTCCCAGCTCTAGATCAAGAAATCTCGCGCTTTTCCTCCTAGTCCACTTCAACATCTGGGGTAGGGCCCCAGAGCTTTGTTAGGGAAATTGGGAGGAGAGGGGCAGGAGAGACATCACAATGAAGCCTATTGTCTCCTGTCCCCTAACAAAAGACTCCCAGTCTCTGGGAAGCCCTAGCCCATGCCCACCCCCCTAATCCCCAGCACAGTGAGGAGCCGGGGCCACTGGAGACAGGTTTTATTGATGCTGGGGACGGGTAGGAAAGGCCCCCTAGGAGCTGGTAGTAGGGTGGGGTAGGGGCTGAGTCAGCGGATGCAAAACGCCTGGGCACGGAGGGGGTGGCAGGTTAGGGCACATTCATCTTAGGATTCTATGGCTCCTTCCAGGGGGAAAGGAGGGAGCATCTGGGGAGGGAGGGGCAGTTTTAGGAGCAGCAGAGGCAGAGGTTAGAGATGGCCAAGAGGCCCTAACCTGAGAGGAGACACCACTGAGAGGCAGCAACAACTGTGTGAAAAGCTGGATCAACTTGTCAGTAGCAGACAACAGGGACGGGGCACTGGACTGGCCTCTTGGGGAGGGGTCCAATCTTGGCCTGGGTGAGCTCATGGGAATACCTGATGTTCCCAGGCAGGGTGGGTGGGGCACGAAGCCCCCTTTCCCCTGCAGTCAGGCCTCCATAAGGAGAAAAAGGCATTCAGGGAGCCCCCTGGCAAGGGGTGCCAGAATTAGTCCTTAAGGCACAGCTGGGGGCAGACAAGGCACCAAGGCACAGCTGGTGGGGGGTGGGGGGAGTCAGGGCCAGCCTCCAAGCTGACTGCCAGGGTCACAAGAGGACACAGGAGCGCCCACGCTTGACGGGGGTTGGGTTGAGCACAGCCCGGACAGCCTCGGCAAACACTTCCTTCACCCCGTCCTGTTGCAGGGCCGAGCACTCGAGGTAGCGCACAGCGTGGATCTGCTTAGCCAGTGCCTGGCCTTGCTGCGGAGTGATGGGTGCCTGGCCCTGCTCCTTGAGGCGTCGTAGGGTGTCAGGCTGGGCTCTCAGGTCCTTCTTGGTGCCCACCAGGAGGATGGGCACGTCGGGGCAGTGGTGGCACACTTCCGGGTGCCACTTGTGCCGCACATTCTCGTAGGAGGGCGGACTGGCAATGGAGAAGCAGATGACAAAGACGTTGGTCTGAGGATAGGAGAGTGTGCGGAGGCGGTCGTACTCCTCTTGGCCCGCAGTGTCCCACAGGTTCAGGTTCACCGTACGCCCATCCACTGCGCTCTGGGCACTGTAGTTGTCGAACACCGTGGGGATGTACTCTTTGGGGAAGGCATTGGTCGTGTAGCAGATGAGCAGGCATGTCTTGCCTACAGCCCCATCACCCACCACCACACACTTGATGCTTTGCATTGTGGGGGCAGCTGCTGAAGTGGAGGCAATGCCTCCTGCTGGGCCCCTCTGGGTGCAGGGAACTGTGAACAGATGAAAGGGATACTGTTGGTTAGGGAGGCCTCTAACTCTTGGCATCAGGATGAGGGCATTAAAAAAAACAAAAACAAAAAACTACATTGGGTTATTGTGAGGATTACAAGTTAATGTGTTTCTTTTAAAAATAAGATTAATTGGTTGATTTTAAAGGCAGAGTATACAGAGAAAGGGAGAAGAGAGAGCGTGCATTCTTCCATCTGTTGGTTCACTCCCCAAATGGCCACAACAGCTGAAGCTGAGCCAGGACAGAGCCAGGAGCTGGGAGCTTCTTCCAAGTCTCCCACGTGGGTACAGGGGCCCAAGCACTTGGGCCATCTTCCACTGCTTTCCCAGGCACATTTGCAAGGGCCTGGATCGGGATTAGAGCAGGCTGGACTCAAACTGGCACGCATATAGGATAATAGTACCATGGTGGCAGTTTTTACCTGTTATGCCACAGCCCTGGCCCTGTAAGTGAATATAGGCCAAGTATTTACTGACAATAGTGGTACACTGGCAGTGCACACAGTACCTAGACAGTACCCATTCACTAAGTATTAGGTATTTTCCTGTTTTTCCAGACAGCATAGAAACAGGAGGGTGCACAATTTCTCTAATAATATCCACCCCTCCCCCAACCTGGATGCAGCCTCAGGTAGAACCTTTCCAGACTTGGGGTCCACCTTACACTGATGCTTCAAATCCTCCAATCCTGACTTCTACTAAGTCTGAAGCAAAGGGTGCGGTGGGAAGCTCACTAAAGGAGGGAGTAGAATTCTCCAGACAGCTTCTGTGTCCATCTGGAATGTTCTGGGAAGGGTGGAAGAGGGCAAGCCCACTACCATCATTCTGGGAAGCATGGAAAGCCCCATCTGGCAGGGAAATGCTGGGACCAGGGCTGGTATCCGGGTATGCTCCTTCAAGCTAAGCCAGGAAGGGATGAATATGAGAGCAAAACAAAAACGTGATCTTCCCTTCAGTCTTCTGATCCTTTCCTGGGAGTACACATGAACCTCTGAAGAGCATCACATGGCTAGCAAAACATCACCAGGGCAGCACGTTTAGCTGATGCCTGTAGTGCCAGCATCCCATGAGAACGCCGGTTTAAGTCTTGACTGCTCTATCACTCTAATCAACTGTCATCAAAACTCAATATAACTAATAAAAAAGTCTTGACTGCTCTTTAGATTCAACTTCCTGCTAACGCACCTGGACAAGCAGTAAAAAATGACTCAAGTACTTGCACCCCGTACCTACATGGGAGACCCAGATGGAGTTCCAGGCTCCTTGTAGCTATGTGAGGAGTGAACAAGTAGATGGAATATCTCTGTAACTTGGACTTTCAAATAAACAATCTTTTATTATTGTCTGTTTGCTTTAAAAAAAAAATCTTTAAAACAAAGCCAAACCAAAACACAAAAACAGTATCACTGCTGGAACTGGATGCTGAAGTCAGGTGGGCAGGGACTGAATCACCATAGTCCTACGAGCTTGTTACAGATGATCCTGGCAATATTTCTTAGTTCCAAGCCTCATTTTACACTTCTGTAAAATGGGGGGGATAATATCGGGATATTGCATTCAAATTGCTCAGTGTATGAAATGAGTTAATATGAAGAAAGTGTGGAGTCAGTAATGAGGCAGAGTCTCAGCTCTAGGCACCAGCCTGGTTCCTCAGGCCAGTCATGGGCCTCGGGTGAGAACTAGTCTTTTGAGGTCTGCAACAGGACAGGGCTTCCGGAAACCCTGGGATTATTTATAATGACTGCTGTGGCAAGGGCCCTCCTCTCATTGGCTACTTCCTCTCAGCCACAGGGGACTCTAGCTAGCCAGTGTGTGACTTCCTTTCCCTGACTGTCTCCCACAACTAGTCCTGCTGCACGGGAAGGGCAGCCTGTTTTATGCACAACCAAATACCTCAAAAATTAAAATGGGACAAAAAAAAAAAAGTTAAAATGGGGTGGGAGGTTAGGGGAGCGACATGAGAGGATACGCCCATTAGAAAGGATCCCTGGTGGTGGAAAGGCTAAAAAGAATCCAGAGTTCTCTCCCAGGACACAGCTTCCCTGGAGACCAGCTGGTAGGGAAGCAGTTTCACTCTATGGGACTGTCTCTCTGGTTCACACTAAAAATATTTTCATCTTATTTGCATGCGTAAGATACAGTTCCTAAAAAAATAATAATAAAATAAAAGTTCCTGTCCGGGTGGGGAAAGGAGCAGAGGAGCTGAGACTGAAGTCAGGGAACTCAAGTTCTGAGCCCAGCTCTGCCTGCTGACGGCAGCAAAGGATGAGGCCCTTAGCCTCTCTGCGCCTCAGTTCCTTATCTAGAAAACAGAGATACTCATGCCAATGACAAGGGCACTGGGTGGGCAACAGAAGAGCTGAAGAGCCATAAGGGCAGAGGCTGTTACTTGTGGACACTGGATTATCTGGGAGACCCTGGTCTTTCACAGAACAACTCCAGGGTCTGGTGCCGTTACCTCTGCAGGGTAAGGGGAGTGGGTACAGCGGGGTAACTGAGAACTCTCTCCCCCAAGTCCAGCCACGGGCTGGCCCAGGCAGGAAGGCCAGAAGGGAACTCTGGCCGGCAGTCACAAGGCCTCAGAGATTGAAAGTACAGCCGGTACTCTACCCTTGGGGGAGGTGGTTATCACCCAGAGATCAGTAAATCTGCCCTCAAAGGGGAGTGGGGGGAGGGTAGCTTCCGGACTGGCAAGGGAACACGGGACTGACAGCGGAAAAGGATTATGCACGAGGCAGTGTCCAGAAAACAAGCAGGGGCAAGGGAAGTGGTGGAGTCCAGGGCCAAGAGCACCAGACACCCAAATATGACCTCCTGAGCCTTACCTGCTGATCTTGACCTCTGACTAAAAAAGTCCACATACTGGCATAAGCTTTTTATAGAGCGCATGGGATTATGTCTGCTGATCTCTGAAACAACCTGTTGGCCCTACTGCTCTCTGACAGAGAAGAAAACAATTTCAGAGCAGTTCAAATCATCCGATATCACACAGCCAGTGCGGGACCCGGCGTACAGACCCTGCCCTGCGATCCAAAGTCCTGCTTTTTTCATGTCTTCAATTCGCTGCAGTCTCCAAGTTAGACCTTAATGGCTAACTCTGTGACCTTGAGCCAAGCAAGTTACTTCCCTTCCTGCAGCCTGAATTATCTGTGCAATGAGAGCAATAGCACTCGCCCTCCCAGCCTCATGGGGCACAAGAAAC